TTTTTGCCAAAAAAGCATTTATCTACTGTAGCAATTTGGACTAATAATTTAACTTGAATGAAATATATTCAGTGGTGGGATTCAAATAATTTAACAACTGGTTCTCTGCCCTAGTGGCCAGATGGGTAGATATGGCTGGGTGGTCATGTGACAGGGTGGGTGTGGCCAACTCAACGTCATTCACATCAAGGGGTGCCTTGCCTGGCCTCTCCTTGCCAGACCCCACCTCGTCCCTCCCCGCCCACTCCTTGTCATGCCCGGCCTCACCTCACCAGGTGGCTTGCCTCACCTGGCCCCTCAAAGGCCTTAACAAGATACAGTTTCCTTCTCTATTTATTTACCACTACCGAACATCCAAAATACACTATTTAATCCTATGTATATATGCCATATGTGTACATACATATTACATAGTATAAAGTGTATATAGGCAAAAAGATACATTATGTAACAGATAATACAGAGGAATACAATCAAGATCAAGGGAGGTACTATTACCACTCTATAAAGCCTTAGTACAGGGGTGTCCAACCTTGGCCACTTTAAGCCTGGTGGACTTTGCTGGCTGGGGAATCCTGGGAGTTGAAGTCCACCAGGCTTAAAGTGGCCAAGGTTGGACAACCCTACCTTAGTAAGACCACACCTAGAGTACTGCATCCAGTTTTGGTCACCACACTATAAAAAAGAGGTTGAGACTCTAGAAAAGGAGTCCTCAAACTTTTTAAACGGGGCCAATTCACAGTCCCTCAGACTGTTAGGAGGCTGGACCAGCTGGGTGGGTGTGGCAAATTTAGCAGTCCATTAAACAATGCACACAACTAATAAAGTTTAATTAAAAAAAGCAACGTACACAAATTAAACTTAGTTAAGCTCCTGGGGGTGGAAAGCAGATCAGCAAAGGGATGTGGCTGTCTTGGTGTGTGTGTGTGTGTGTGTGTGTAAGGGACTTGTGTGTGTGTGTGTGTGTGTGTGTGTGTCTTTCCCTCTCTCCCTCCCTTTCTATTTCACTGGAGGCTAGGGAAACCAAAAATGAGTCCATTTTTGGCCTCCCTGGCCTCCAGTGAAAAAGAAAGGGAGGGTCCATTTTTGGCCTCCTGAGGTCTCTGTGTGTCCCGTTTTTGGCCTCCTCACCCTCCAGAACCACTCTGCCACCCAAAAACAGGCCTGTTTTGGGCCTCCTGAGGCTCCACACAGCCTGTTTTTGGCCTTCTTGGTCTCTAGAACCACTCTGCCACCCAAAAACAGGCCTGCTTCTTTTGGCCTGAAGCCTCTGCATGTCCCGTTTTTTGCCTGCTTGGCTCTGAGAACCACTCTGCCGCCTGAAAACAGGCCCATGTTTTGCCCCTTGAGGCCTCTACACGTCCCATCCTGAAATGGTGTATGTGTGTAAAAGGCAGCACCATCATAACAGCACAAGAACAGGCACTAAACACCAGATGCACAGAAGCAGGGATTTGTCACACTAGATAGAGCCCTCAGTCTCTCTCAGCTGAAAGATGTATGGAGTTTAACTCCCAGAATTCTCCAGCCAGCCATCAAGGAGTTTCCACAGGAGATTGTGGAGAATAATACAGCTAAGAATCTGTGGACAGGCAGGAATTAGATCAAGATTCTTCAAACTTGGCAACTTTAAGACTTGTGGACTTCAACTCCCAGAATTCCTGAGCTAATATGACTGGAGGAGGAATTCTGGGAGTTGAAGTCCACAAGTCTTAAAGTTGTCACGTTTGAAGACCCTTGCATTAGATAATCTATCAGAAAGTAGGCTTGGCTAGGAAAGATTTTTGTGCCAATACTGGCACAAAATAACAAATTCCCTTGGTTTGTTAATTGTATTTCCATTTTAAGTGTTTATTTTTCAATTAATTAATTGTAATTATGAAAATATCAGCCATTCTTTTATATATACAGTGTAACATTTTTTTTTATAGTTATTTTCAAATCCACTTTCAGCTCAGCCTGTCTTGTCTGGTGAAACTTGTTCCTCTTCCATAACATCTTTTAAATGCTAACTATAGTGTCAGACACTCTTAAAAGTAACTGAATATTACTGATTGCTCCTCATCCACTTTCTTCGCTTGCCAGTCTTCACCAGTCAGGGGGTTGGACTAGATGACTTACAAGGTCTGTTTGTTAATTTGTTAAAATAAGGGAAGGAAACTGGAATCTCTTCAGGCTGACCTGGTGTCAGGACAGCTGGGCCTCCCCTCTCCCCATGACCCACCCCTTCAGACAGAGTCCACTTGACAGGTAGAAATTGGTCTGGGGAAGAAAAGCTGCCTGGATTATTTTAAAATAGCTAAAATTCAGATATTTTTTCTTTTCCCAAATAAAGTTCAGCTGTTGTTTTGGAGTGTTCCAGAACATCGGGCTGGACACAACCCTACTTCATTGCTCTACACTACACATAGGGACTATTCAGAGGGCTGAAAAAAGTGAATTACTCCTCGCATTTATGACCTAGGACCAGGACACATCCACCCAGTCACCTGACCAACCTAATCACGCCCACCCGGTCACATGACCACATAGCCACGCCCACGGAAGCGGTAGTTTAAAGAAATCGAATCCCACCACTGCGTGGGCGGCAGCAGGAGAGAACAGCTGATAGGCTGCAGCTTGCAGTGGGGCGGGACCTGGTTCCGGAAGCCCCGACGCCCCCAGATTGCTGCCGTTGCCTTCCTTGCCGCCGCGCCGTTGCCGCCTCGCTGCCGCTGCGTTTCCCCCCCCCCCCCACCAGGTACGCCGCCGTTACTCTCCTTCCCCCCCCCTCCGTTGCTCGGGATTGGGCGAAGAGAACCAGGTTATTTAAAAGGAACTGCATTATTTGAAGCCAATTCATGTTCTCTTTTTTCATCAGGATTCATATTATAGAGTGCATTAAACTTTTAAATTAAGTTAGTAAAATGGATGATTGAGGTTTTTTTTTTTTTAGTATATTCTAATCCAAAACGATGAACCTTACATGGAAAATGCACATGAGGATCCTGGTATGTGGGAGATTAATTTGTCTCCACTGCTCACAAATAGTTCCATGATATTAATGAGAAAGGGATAACAGGGTCTCCTGAATTCATACACCAGGGCTGGCTTGAACTTCAGGTAATAAATACAAAACAGAAGTTAAAAAAAGCCATGCAAAAGCCATGATCAATTTAAATATATGTCTATGTGCTTTACCAGCCCAGCAGTGAAAGCGAAGTAATGTAGAAAACATTGTAATTCTCTAAAGGACAATATCACACATGATTTTTAATTCTTTAAAAAAGGAAAATTAAAAAAGTCTATTATTTTTATTCTTTAAAAAAAAAATTGTATTTTTTATGTGAAAGAGGCTAAAGTTACTGAAATACAAATTAATGAAGCCAGAGAGAACTATAGACCAGCAGCAGAAAGGGCATCCCTATTGTATTTTATATTAAATGACCTGAACAAAATCAACCCCCATCTACCAGTTTTCCCTGAAGGTAACTAATACTAGAACATGCTGTTTGGTTTTTGTAGAAAAAATAGCTCCCTCTGTCCTTATGGAGTCCAAGATACTCTCAGTTTTTTTGCAGAATCCTTACAGCTGCCCATTGGGATGTTTTTTGTCTGTGATAAGGAAGTGTTGGAAGAATTATCCTTCTGGGCTCAGTTCCAAGAGGAGGGTAAGACATTGGAAATATGGAGGCTGTTTAGAAAAATGGTCTAACGGTGGACAGGACCACATGGCTTGGAGCTCCAAAGTGAAAAGGACAATCACATGCTTCAAGATGTTGGGTGAAGGAAAAGAAAAAGGACAGAGATGCTGAGAGACCCTCAGTTTTATACCCTCTGTTGGGCCCCCCCCCTTAGTGTTTCCTGTTCCTGTGTAAGAAATGTATCCCATTGGCTGTCAAACTTCCAAGGGTTGGGGGGTCTTAGCTAACTATGTAGGCTTTGTCTGGACCACATGGCTTCACCTGAGTGCTGGCTGATGCAATCTTCCTAGGCCAGGTGGTGAGGTGGGTAGAGGCCTTTGTTATGTAGAATACTTTGGCCCAGGCCTTAATGGTCCACCCATTAACAAAGGTGGGAGTGAGCTTCTGCTTCTGAAGTGAGTTTTTGATTCTGAGTTCCTGTTTCTTTTTTTAGGGGAAATATTCTGCCTTTTTAATATTAATTAGGAAAATTCATTTTTCTAAGAGAGGGGTGGGTGCTAACTTCCTACGGAAGAATGGCTGAGAGCCAAGCAGAAAGAAAACCCCCCCCCCAGATGCAATGGGAAAAAATGTCTTCCAGAGAGTCAAACCTTGGACCTTCTGTTTTGCTAATGGCCATCTATGTAACCCCTTCATGTTCTTGAGAATGGCACCTTGTGTCTTTCTGTTCCAGAGTCCTTTTTCTTTGTCTTCTTTTCTGTTCAGGCTCTTAATGTGTTTGAGAAAACTATTCAGTGTACAGCTCTAGCAGAAGATGTGAAACACAGGGTGATCAACCTTACAGATGAGATCACCTATTCAGTTTTCATATACACGGCTCTGGGATGTTTTGAGAGAGACAAACTTATTTTTCTAGCTCAAGTTGCCTTTCAGGCATGCCCACCCAGTCACATGACCACCAAGCCACACCCACAGAACCGGTAGTAAAAAATATGAATCCCACCACTGCTTATGACTGTTTTCACACTTATGACTGTTGCATCATCTCCATGGTCATGTGATCGGTATTCAGATGCTTGGCAACTGACTCCTATTTATGATGGTTGCAGTGTTCCAGGGTCATGTGATCATATTTTCCAACCTTCTGGCAAGCAAAATCAATGGAGAAATCAGATTAACAGTGGATTACTAACTGAACAACTGCAGTGATTCACTTAATAACTATGGCAAGGAAGGTCGTAAAATGGGACAAAACTCACTTAACAACTGTTGCCTAGCAACATAAATTTTGGCCTCAATTGTCGTAAGTTGAGGACTATATTATTAAAACGAGTAATATTTAATTGGTCTATTATCTTCACAGTGCAGATGAAGACTGACTTTTCAAGTCAACTTTTGGCAGTGTTAGGAAGAATTTATGCAAGTATAAAAAGACTTGGACATAATCTCAAAGTATGAGTTAACAAGAATCTTTCACTTAAACGTTATCTCAAAGATGCTGCCCTATCTTTGGTACATTAGAAATTAAATGTGGCATTATTTCCAAATCTGAATGGAATCAGAATTAGACACAATAGTCAGAAATTGTCAGCTACCTGCATGTTGATGGCAGTCCCTTTTTCTTCACTTTTGGAACAGGTTTTATAATATATATTCTAAATAATTGTGGAAGTAGAAACAGGCAGATTTTATTTCATATGCAGGAGCAATATATGTCTACGAGCTATCAATAATAGTAATTATTTGTCAGTTGTATTTTGGAGATGTCAAAGGTTTGTGCCATTTTTGGAGGTTCTCGGGGAATTGGTCAGGCTGTCGCACAGCTCCTAGCACAGAAAGGATATTGCCTGGCTGTTATAGCAAGAAATCTGGACAGAGCTCAAGCTACAGTGGATAGATTAGGAGGTAAGTACATGTTGATATTTGTTTTTCACATATACAGTACCTTAGTATATAGGAGTACTAAAACAACCCATTATCTAACAGAAATGCTAACAAGTTTGCTAACTTGTTTGATTGGAAAGTCTTGGAAAGTCACTTTATTTTTTAATAGGGAAAAAGTGTTATGTTGGATTAATATCCTGCTGTTTGATCAGGAGCTGAATTCCTGGATATATTTTAACAAAATAATATTTTTCACCAATGAATACTGTTCAGAAAAAACTTGCATCCTTACTGTTTGATGTTTTCAGTTATCTAAATATTACTACTTTTTTTTTTTTACAATAGTTCTGCTTTAAGAATTGCAAACCTGATTTTGAGTAATTTACATATCATGAGTTTCATTTCAAAACAGCAGGTCATCTTGCACTGAGTTGTGATATCACCAAAGAAGAAGCCATCCAAAAAACATTTAAAGAAATAGAGAACAAACTTGGTCATATAAGCTATCTGGTTAATGCTGCAGGTATCAACAGGTTAGTTTAACATTTTAATTGTAACATATGAAAACATCTTGTATAAAAAGCAGCATGCAGTTTAATTTGTTTTAGAGAATAAAATACAAAACTTATAGAAGAAATATAGAGACACACAGAGAGAATAGTTATATCTTCTTTACAATAGTTAACACTGAGAGATCCTCGGTGCTCTCTGAGCTTGTTTGTTTTCTTGCAGACATTTCATTACACAAACTAGGTAACAGCATCAGTGCTGGTAAGGAGTGCTGTTTGCTGTCCGTTTATATTCTCAGGGGTCACCAACCTTTTGGACCTCAGAGACCACTAAGTTTTAAATCCCGCAGACCACAAATACGAATCCAGCGCGCTGCTCGCTAAAGCGCCTGGACTCTGAGTGACAGGATGGGATCCTTCAGGCACTTAGCTTGGCCATCTGTTTCAGCAACCTTAAACACTCACAAGAGCCATTTGGACCCATTTCCCACAGAAAACTCCCCCTCTCTCCCTCCCTCCCTCTCCCTCCCCCTCCCTCTCTCTCTCCTAGTAAACTGGATTCCTTTAAAATGGTATTGATAATTCTGTGGATGTTCTCTAATTGGTCCTTTTTTATTATGGTGAAGTTACTGTCTGCTATGGGTTCTAGATGTTGCATAACGACCTCCACCATAAGTCCTGCAAGCGATGACCCCATAGATGTACCCTTAATTTGTCCATCAAATTGAAAATGTGTAGTTAAGCAGATGAGATCTATAATCCTCAGTGTTTCAATCTTAATGCAGTCAGTTAAGTCAGGTGTGCAGTGGAATGGATGAGAAACAGTCCTCCCACGCTTCTATGGACACCGGAATTACAAAAACCTGACCTACCCCTCCATCCAATCATATCACTAGCAGGAACCTCTACAAAAGAATTAACAAAAAAGCTTGGGCACCTCACAAGAGGAAGCAAACACTCCATTAACACTCCACTACAGTGCCTTCAAACAATCAGGGATGTAACTATAAATGAAGACAAAACCATGGCCTCATTTGATGTCACAGCCATGTTCACATCCATAGATCCAGAATTTGCCAAAGAACCCATGACCACATTGTTTCACAGCACACCTGATTTAACCAAATAGAGGAAGTTTGAAACAATTTTGACATATCCTTTTAATTTCCTTGAATCTATAAACTGATAAAATGCTAAAGAGAATTATACAGAGTTTAAAAGATACCTAAACTTCTATAAGACTTCAGAACTTGAAATAATTGCAGTTACAGAATGATAGTAAAGATACATAGGTAAAATATTATGGAAACATACAAAGTGATAGTTAATTCTTAATCGGCAACATTATTTTAATAAATATAGTAAGTTGAGTTTAGGTACACAACTTTGTAAAGAAATTATTAGAATAAATTCAGAATTGATCATCTATAATCAATTAAATACAATTTAGTGTTTTTTTCTTGACTCCAGGGATGGACTACTGTTACGAACCAAATCTGAAGATATGATATCTCAGCTTCACACCAATCTTTTGGGAACCATGCTGACGTGTAAAATTGCTGTAAAGAGTATGATTCAACATCAGGGTGGTGCTATTGTTAATGTTGGTATGTATACCTAAGCAAACTGATTCATTATTTTAGTATTACATTTAATACATTATTTTTCTGGAAATAATGTAAGCAGTGTTTTAAATATCTGTCAGTATATTCATGAATTGGAATAGAGCTTGGTAACAAGGTCAGCCTTGAATAGGCATAGCAACTAAGTCAGCCAGTGAGGACTCTTTTTGGAAACTGAAACTAGAAGTAGCCTAGGCTGGAAACTGAAACTAAAAGTAGCTTAGGGGTGGCTCTATGTTAAGCTCTGCAACTCTGCAGCTATGAGAATCTCTGAGTCTGTCTGTTGAAGATGAAAACTAATTTGCTTGCTTGCTGAAGACTGGAGCTCTGCTCTGAACTTGCAGCATGTTTGTCTGAGTTTGCTCCATGTTGGAGAAATCTACAACTGGTTTGTAAAATCTACTTATGTTTATAAAGATGTTAAATGAACCATCAGCCATCTGTGTTTATTTTTCTGGCGCTGAATTATCACTGCAAAACTCTCAATAATAAGTTATATAAGTTAATATATTTGAAAGTTGTTATGAAAGTTATCCCTAATATTTTGGGTCTAAAATTCTCCTTTGTATGTGGTATCTTTCACCTACAGAAAGTACTTTAGATTTCAGGATAAACTGATACTTTACAGAATAACAGAGTTGGGAGAGACTTTGGAGGTTGTCCAGTTCAATCCTCTACTCAAGCAGGAAACCCTGTAACATTTCAAACAAATGGTTGTCCAATATTTCTTAAAAATCCCCATTGTTGGAGCAACCACAACATCTGGAGACAAGTCACTCCACTGATGAATTGTTTTGTTAGGAAATTTCTTCTTAGTTCTAGATTGCTTCACTCCTTGATTAGTTTTCATCCATTGCTTCTTGTCCTGCCTTCAGGGGCTTTGGAGAATAGGTTGACCCCCTCTTCTTTGTGGCAACCCCATAGATACTAGAACAGGGCTATCATGCCATCCCTAGTCCTTTTCATTAAACTAAGCATACATAATTCTTGCAACCTTTTTTCGTATATTTTAGGCTCCAGTCCCCTAATCATCTTCGTTGCCTTTTTCTGCACTCTTTCTGAACATCTTTTTTTTTTTTTATCGTGGTGACCAAAACTCGGTGCAGTATTCCAAACGTGGTCTTACCCTGGCATTATAAAGTGGTACTAACTCTTCACTTCTTCTGCAAGCCTCGATGAAGAAGAAGCATGAAAATTAGTTCAAAACCTTTATTGTCATTATACATCATGTATACAACGAAATTGGTTTAGTCTCTACTGGTGCAGTCCATGCAAGAATACAAGACAACGTGAATAATATAAAGAATAATCCTTATACAAGTAGTTAAGAAAAAAAAATACTTTAGAAGTTACAGCTCTCTATGAACTCTTTTGCTATAATGACTATTGTAGCTAAGCTTCAATAGGGGAAACAGTTATTTGTACTGTGCGGGAAGCATCCAGCTGTGTGCAAACCTTTAAAGGCATTTTTACTTTAAGAGGTGCCATCAATTGAAATATACCTGGTTATGCAGGCTCCAAATTACATTTTCCACTGCAATTCCAGATCCCTACCTCTGCACATTTGGAAAAGAAAAAAGAAAGAACAGTTGGCCCTCATAAGCCTTCAGATCCAGACCATTATTTCAGTTATAATTTATGTTACATTATTGTACCAACTCTATGGAGAGATTCTCACATAAGTTTCCTTTTATTATTTATTTTCATACTATGTATCTAAGAGAAGAAATTTTTTAGCTGGAGGGGCATGTTTGCTCTAATGAACATTAATAATTAGAAAATGAGGGAAGGAAGCTTCTGTAGGGTAGGAGGCTGCTATGGATGAGGCAGCAATGGCTGTAAAGAGCTCTTTCAAAATTAAACAGGTTTTTCTTTTTTAAACTTTTATATTTTTTTGTAATTTTACTTCACTTTTAACCCATTTTAACCCATATCTGATTTTACAAAAGCACTTATAAAGAGGTTGCCTCTATTCGCTTTAGATACATTTTAACAATACTACAAGCCAGGATTTTTAAGAATGGGGAAAAAGAGAAAGAGACAGCAGTCTTGCAGCAGAGCTCATCCAAGCTATTGAAGCAGCAGAAAATGGAAGATTATGCTGCAAACAGACAGTCTGCTCCAGTAAGTAACTCATTTGCAGTCTCCTTATCAGATAAATCTAATTTATGTGATTCATTGGAATGGGACTTACAAACCTAACTTGAAAGCAAACAGAACTTACTTTCTCTCTCTCTCTCTCTTTCTCTCTCTCTCTCTCTTGTAGAAAATGGCTCCCCTCCTGGGAACTCAGCAGCCATTTTCCTTGCACAGGAGGGGAATGTAATAAATTTAAAAAGGGGAAATGTAACAGATTTCCCCTCTAGACAATGTTTGCTTACAGCTCAAATTGTAAATTCAATCTATGACCTTTTATCAACTGTCATAAAGGTTGACTGCTTCAAAGAGTCTTTTGCAAAGTTTATTAGCCACCCAAATACTGCAGGAAGATGCTTACCAATAGATTTGGGATGGCTAATTCAGGAACTGAAACTGGAGCAGGCCTTTTTTTTCCTTCCAAAAATGAGAAGGGGAAGAACACTCATAAAGGCCTAAGTCAGGGGTGTCCAACCTTGGCAACTTTAAGACTTGTGGACTTCAACTCCCAGAATTCCTCAGCCAGCTTTGCTTTGAAGTCTTTCTTTGAAGCTTTGAAGTCCACAAGTCTTAAAGTTGCCAAGGTTGGACACCCCTGGCCTAAGAGATGACCAATATAACTATAGTCTGCAGACTAACTAGGTTATCTTTCAAGTTTATGACAAAGAGAATGAATAGAGAGTGTTGGAGTGATAGAAAAGCTGTTAGGATGTCTCTGAGCCAGCTGCTCCACTGTGAATTCACTCTGATAGATCTACTATGCACAGAATGGCTGCAAGTGAAAAGGCAATGTATGAGAATTTTGTTATTGTTCAAGCAGTCCACAATTCCCCTCTATGCTCCTTAGAATGAAGTCTTTCTAGAGCACCTTTTCAATATTTCCAATATGGGTCCTTTGCTCAGACAAAATATGCCCATTTCTGAACCAGTCTGTCTAAGCGGGAACTGTTGCTTTAAAACCAAGCTGCAACAGCCTTCATACTGATAAGCCTGGAGCTGCCGCAGCTGAATTGACCCTCAGAAAGCAAAGGAGCGATCTACAAACAGCTGCAGAAACTGCTGAGGATGTGCCAGAAGAAATGCTGATTGACCTATTCAGTGCATTGCCGGAACGTAAGCAAGTTAATATTTTTCAAAGATTGGATGATCTAAAACAGTGGCCCCCAACCTTTTTTGTGCCACGGCCTGGTACCGGCATCACAAAATGATCCGCGGCCCGGTACCGGCATCAGCACGCATGACAAGGCAAGGCGAGCTGAGCAACCGGCCAGCCAGCTGTCCCCCGCTTCTTCCCGCCACCTTCAACTCCTCCTTTGTACCTTTGTCGATGGGCTTCGCTTCGGGATGGCTTCGGGACGGTCGCTCGGCTCGCCTTGTCTTGGGTGCTGAAAGAATCCTCGCGCCTTAGTTTCGTTCGAAGCCCCCCCCCTTCGATGAAACTAAGGCATGAGGATTCCTTCAGGACCCAAATGCCGCTTTCCAAACGGAAAAGCTCACCCGGAAGCACTTTCTCGTCAAACAAGATGGCGGCGCCCAGCAAACCAGTGGCCTGGTAGGAAATGTTCCACGGACCAGTACCGGTCCGCGGCCCAGTGGTTGGGGACCCCTGATCTCAAAGATGCTGATAACCCAATCTACAGGAAAGTCTCTATTTAATTTGGCTCCACCGACTCAGCCTTGTGACAATATATTTATCCAACAATCTGCCATTGCTTCAATAGTAAAAGAAGATAATGTCACACAGGCTGACAGTTGGGTAACTGTACTGACTGACCCAGACTTGAGAAACAGCTGAAAGAAAATTGTTCCATCGTACAGTGGACATCCTAAACAGGCAAATACTAAGGATATAATCCATTCTCCACCCTCATTTGAGTGAGAAATGCCCTCAAAATCTTCTCACAAGATGAATTCCCCTGCTACATTTCTCCAAAAATGGACATAAATCTACATGGGTTCTGGACATGGATTTTGCTGAGATAATTGCTAAAGGTGAAGACACTCTAATCCAGCCACTAGCTGACGATCAGAGCAGAGGCGTGCCTCAGTGCCCCACACAAATGTGGAGGCTACCCTTGATGTTGATGATTACCCCAAAGACTCACAAAATATACTAAATTAAATGCATCAATTAACAATATCTAGCTTTTGGTGTCAACATTAACCCAGCATAATTATCTTCCAACAATCGCCCCTACTGAGAATTCATACTGACAATACGAAGACTAGGGCAAGAAAAATATCTTAAGCATTTTGTCATGTAGCTGAGTGGTACCATTTTAGAGGCCTAAATTACTCTGATCCCTGTCAGATAAGGATATCATTTTGGTGCTAGAGACTTGGATGACCTCGTGCTAAATGGTTATCACTCAAATAAGCTAGAAACAAGGCCAGACAGAGGCCCAGGAAGACTGAAGGGAAGGCTGGGTATATTTATTTCTACCATCTTGAGAGCAGACCACTCTTATTGTCCCTTTAAAACATATGGCTATGGCCCTTCTCAAGATGGACTCAGTCCTGCTTTTAATAATTGTTTATCTTTCGCCATTGCTAAGAAAAGCTGAAATCAATGCAGTATGGATGGAGTTGGAACACTATATTAGTAAACTCCACATGGACCATCCAAAAGCCAGGCTCTTACTAGGGGGAAGCTTCAGTGCTAGATTGGGACCAGATTATTATATAAAATATCAATATCCACCATCGGAGGTTGCCATACAAACCAGCACCTTCCTCACATGACTTTCTAAAGACAATAGAGCAAATTTACATTGGCCTCTGTCTTGCAAAGATGGTGAATAAACACAATTTTTATATCCAATGGCTCTTGGGCTGGCGACTATCCTTACGAGATTAAATTTATGGCAGGGTCCAAAACCAGCACCATTTTTTCCCCAAAGTTTTTTTTATTTTTTACACATCTCTTCACGTGAGCAACGTGGTTCCAGATTACAATATTTATACATAGTCATAGTTACATTTTTAACTTTCTTAATATCATCTCAAATTATTATCCATTCAACTAATCTTTAGATAAATTTCCCTTTCATATTTCAATTCATTAATTCAGAATCATTTCATCCTCACATATATTTTCAATTCTTTATCCCCTATTATTTCCATTTTCAGCTTACCATCTATTTTATGTTACATTATGTATTGTTATCTATAACTTTCTCAAGACCAATATATAATTAGACAGTCAATGAAATAAAAAACGAATAAAAGTAAAGTGAGATTAATACATTTAGGATCCACATGGTATATCCCCCCCATCTACAATATATCTTCTACATATTCCAGAGATATTCATATAATCATTTCATATTTTTTCTTTGTTTCCACTTAACCCAAAATATGATACATTCATTATAAATATTTTACATTCCTACATAATCCCTTCTAGTTCATTATGTTTTCTGTTTTCTCATATACTTTGTACTGTATAATCAATTGCATTTTCTATTACATGTATACCACAAAAAAAAAATAAAAACAGTTAATTTCCCCTTTTACTTCCCTTTAACTAATTTCAACCTATAGCATTTATATAAGCCTAATTCACATTTTTTGAACATAATTAATACTAGATTTTTGCCCAAGTCATCATATTCTCTGTTTTCTTAATATCATTTAGATAGTCATTAGCATATTTAAGAATACACACACACACACACACACACACGTATGTGTATGTATGTGTATATATATATATATGTGTGTGTGTGTGTGTGTATACGTAGATATGTATGTATGTATATATGTGTGTGTGTGTGTGTGTGTGTGTGTATTTTCTTAAATTTTTGCGGGTACTTACGTGTATGGTATTCAGCTTTGTTCGGGTATTTTCCCACATCATTGTAGTTGTGCTTTTAAAGTTGTAGCAATGTTTTGGCAGAATCTCATCAGTTGCTTCTTGAAAAATTGTGACATGTTCGTATATTGATTCAAATCTTTGAGTGTGCATTGGGTACATGTTATTTTATACAAATGACAGCTTGAATCTTCATTGTAAGTCCTTCAAATAAATTGAATAAAATGGGCAATTTTTAAAATTAAAAGTTATCAACATTCAATACTGTAAATTGAATTTGTATCATTACAATTTTTAAACTTGGGCTTTATTATTTTTATGTTTATTTTAGGAAGTATTGTTGGATTAAAAGGTGGTGCAGGTCAAAGTGCATATAGTGCTAGCAAAGCAGGATTAGTTGGATTTTCACGCTCTTTTGCCAAAGAAGTAGCACGAAAGAACATTCAAGTCAACATGGTTGCTCCAGGTGAGTTTTGGGTTCAGTTGCTTATGCTTTGTCACATAAGATTCAATATTTTTAGAACAGGAAAGTCTCAAAACATGGATACATAGTATATAAAAGATGAGGGGGTTATTTCTCAAAAATTTCTATCGCACAATTGTATCAGCTTCATATTTAGTAGTTAAAGAAAATTAAAATGGTTGCTAGTGGTACTTGTAGGGTATACATTTTTCCCCAGATAATGACGAATTTACTTCAGTGACAATCCTGACATACACACATATATGGGAGACACCCGAGGTGGTCACACAAGGGTTTTTTTGAGATCCCGCCAAATGGTGTTAGGTAGCAGGAATAAATACTGGATACCTGAAAGTATGTCCATATATAATATAAATGCATATGTACATTTTAAAGAAAAAGCGAAGATACGGTAGTACTGTGCTTGAGCAACACATATGGGTACATATAAATAGATTCCTCATGTATTGTTTGCATATTAATACCATTTTTAAGCTACACTATGAACAATTATTAGACATTGTATTTTTGAAGATTATGGTAATTTCATTATTGAACAGCTACAGTGCTCTCAATCAATCCAAAATGTTAATAAACCTCAAATCTGAATATTTAAGAAAGTAAAATTGAGGATTTGCCTTTCTTAGGAAAATATCTATGTGCCCAATTATTGGGCAATTATTAGTATGCAGAATATTATGCAACTAGATGAAAAATGAAAATTTGCCCATCAAACTTGTTTATTTTCATCTGTTAAAGTGAGAATAATAAACAAAGAACTCAAAATTTACAAATAAACATTTCTGATGGTTCAAAAAAATAATAATCCGTGACCAATATAGCCACCCTTTTTTCAATAACAGTCATGAACCTTCCATTCCTGGAGTCTGTCAGTTTCTTAATCTGTTGACAGTCAACTTTTTGTGTAGCAGCAATCACAGCTTTCTAGACACTCTTTACAGAGGTGTACTGTTTTGCTTTACCATAAATCTCCCATTTAAGAAGAACCCACAAGTTCTCAATAGGGTTTAGATCAGGTGAGGAAGCGGGGCATGTTGTTAAGGCATTTACTTAAGGTATTTACTGGTTAGCCATGCAGTGGAGTATTTTGATGCATGCGATGGAGCACTGTCCTCATAAAAATCATGGTCGTCTGGAAAGATGCAGACCTTTTCCTCTTCCACAGTGTCTTCTAACAACTGGCAGTAGGTTTGGGAGTTGATTTTGAGTCCATCTTCAGTCTGAAAAGGTCCATCTAGCTCATCTTTCAAAATACCAGCACATACCAGTAAACACCCCTCCCCCTTTGCTGGCATCTGAGTCAAAGTGGAGCTCTGTAGCAGTTACTGGTCCAGCGACGGGTCCATCTATCTTGTCTGTAAAGAGCCACTCTCATCTCATCAGTCCATTAAACCTTTGAAAAATCTGTCGTCAGATATTTCTTGACCCAGTCTTACCATTTCAACTTATGTGTCTTGCTCAGTGGTGGTCGGGTTTCAGCCTTCCTTACCTTGGCCATATCTCTGAACACTGAACACCTTGTACTTCTGGGCACTCTAGGTAGGTTGCATTTCTGGAATATGACAGCAACGGAGGATAATGGGTTCCTGGTAACTTCACATTGGATTCTTCTCAAATCTTTGACAGTTAATTTGCATCTTTTTTTCTCAACATGTTTCTTCCTGTTGATTATTTGCAACAAAATGTTTGATGGTTCTGTGATCATACCCCACTGTCTTAGTAATTTCAAGAGTGCTGCATCCCTCTGAAGGACAATTTTTGACTTTTTAGAGTCAGTTAAATCTCTTTTAGTCTGTGTTGGAGTGCCTTTTTCACTTCAAACTTGAATATGCTGATAAATTGATAAATTAAACTGATAAACTTGATAAATTATCTGTTCTGGCCAAACTTTATGTAAAGGAAATTTTATTAAATTCTGCAATGCATAATGGATTAAATAACTTTCTCCTAATTTGGATGCAATGTTTTTTTCTTGAAATGACTCCTAGTTGTCCAGCTGTGATATATACCGGTAAATTTTGAAGTCATGTGACACTAAAGCCAGGAGAATCTTATTTCATAAGCTCCTCCCTCTTCTTTTTATAGGCTTCATTCATACAGATATGACAGCCCATTTGAAAGAAGAAGAGCTGAAAAAAACAATTCCCCTTGGAAGATTTGGGCAGCCACAGGAGGTTGCCCAAAGTATTGCATTCCTTTTAGAAACTCCTTATGTAACAGGTCTCGTTTTGGTTGTAGATGGAGGCTTGCAGCTTCTAATTTAAACACTATGAATTCTACATGAAAAGATATTCAGCAATTCTAAAAATCCCCGAAGAGATCTAAGCAATATCCTTATTATATTTTAACTCAAATTAAAAAAAAAAGAAAAGATAACAAGGTTCCATTTTAGTTGTGTTTGAAAATAGAAGATTAAAATAAATATATTCTAAAATCTATTAATATTGTATTTTTCTGTTATAGGAGTTTTGACAGCCATGCACACACATACACACACACTCCCTTCTAACCCTGCTGGAGCAGGTCATTGGACTAGAATCGGCAAAGCATCTCTGATTAGATTCTAGCAGTGAATAAAATCTAATCAGAGATGCTTTGCAGATTCCTGTTGATTTGTTTTATTTATATCTCTTATTTTATGTTGCTGAATTGCATTGACATGTGTGTCCCTTCTTGTGCCCAACCCAGAAGCTTTTGTGATTCTTTGCAGCAAAAATTACCGACCTCTGGCTTTGCTCTACTTTTCAAACTTGCTGCCACTGCCACGTTCTAGGTGCCGGCCTCGCAGGTCCACCCCATTGAGCCCACTGCACTGGAGCGACCTGCCCAAGCAAGTCAAGTCAATGGGGTGAGCCTGAGAGAGGGAAAGAGAGAGAGAGAGAGAGAAGGAAGAAAAGAAAGAGAAAAGGGAAAGAAAGAAAAAGGGACAAAGAAAGAGGGGGAGATGGAAGGAAGGGATAGAAAGAAAAAGAAATAAAGAAGGAGGGAGGGAGGAGAAAGATGAGATATCTATTCTAGTCCAATCACCTGCTCCAGCAGGGTTAGAAGGGTGTGTGTGTGTGTTGTAATTTACCAGTACATTTTGGTTTTGCCTTCTTCAGAATTGGCACTGTAATACATTGGGGAAAAGTAATTTTTAGGGTAGAGATCTGGTCCAATGGGTCCTGTTTAAAGCCTCAACAAAATGTGAGAGCTTCCTGATAGTCTTGACCATGTTTCATCCACAAAACCTTTAATAGAAGCCAAAGATGTTTCAATGTGGAAAAGGGATTCAGTCTAAACTAGGCCTCATTTCAATCTGTAACATCAAGTCTCTCTCTCTCTCTCTCTCTCTCCCTCTCCCTCCCTCCCTCCCTCCCTCCCTCTCCCTCCACCCCCTTTGTCCCCTTTTTCTCCCAATTTTGTGGCAGCAGCTCCTCCGCATGCAGAACTCCATCCTAGCCATTTCTTAAGAAGGGAGTGGGGTGCAGAAAATCCCCCGCCTAACTCATTTATGGACAAGGGTGGGTGGGGAGCGGAGAAAGTAACAAGAGAAATATCATGCAGGGTGACAATAGGGTGTGGGAGGTTATCTGCATAACCTGCCCCCCTCCTCCGGTGAGAACATGAAGAAATGGATGGATAGATACAGAAATAATGACCACAACAGCTAGTACAAGGGGATGAGCGCCCCAGAACGTTGGTCACCTTGGCTTCTCCTTTAGAGGAGGAGGAGTCCCCGCTTCCTTTTTTATGCAGCAAGCTTTTCTGCTTCCGCTGCTGTTGCTACGGTGGCCGTCGCCTTTCACAAGCCCATTGTTCGCCCCGGCACAAGCACCGGACCAGAGCAGCGCTCGCGGTGCCAGCTCCAGGCTGGCGCAAGAGGAGTGCAGGTGGAAAAAGAGCCACCTCCCCTCCTCGCCACGTCCATGTCTACTCTGGGTTTGCTCTACTTTCCCAATGTGCCGCCGCCGCGTTTGAGACGCTGGCCCTGCAGGTCCACTCCATTGAGCCCACTGCACCAGAGGGAGCTGCCCAAGCAAGTCCGAATGGACTTGGTGCACCAAGTCAATGGGGTGAGCCTGAGAGAAGGAAAGAGAGAGAACTGGTAGAATCCCACCCCGAATTGCACCCTGCGAGGGGCCCACCTCTAGCACCCCCCTGCCTCTTAGTGCCCCCCTAAGGCATCCTACCACCTGCTTTGGGAACCACTGATCTAAACAATTTGCCAAGATTCTACCTCAGACAATGGAGGTAGCGTCAATGGTGACAATGGAGAAACACATGTTCTCACCTCTATTCATACAGTTTCAGCCTAGCAGGACATTTTATCTTGAAGGCATGGATGTCAAACTCCACCAAGACTAAAGGTAAATTAAAATGTATGGGCAGAACAAATATTTGTTTACTGGAAATGTGTGAGAATATTTATTCAAAACAAGTTGGAATAGTACAGGTAGTCCTTAATTTATGACCATAATTGAGTCCAAAATTTATGTTGCTAAGTGATAAATTTGTTAAGTGAGTTTTGACCCATTTATAACTTTTGCCACATTTGTTAAATGAATTGTTAAATGAGCCTGGTTTCCCAAGATTCCCACTTTTGGGAATTCCCAATTTAAAGATCCTGAGAGTGTCTACTTCTTTTAGATTCTCCAGTTGGCCCATTGACATGAAACCAGTTCTCACCAACTTAACACAGCCTACTCAGATGCCTCCGAGGGAGAGCTGTAACCTAATGATGTCTGGGACTGAGAAGAAAGCTGATATCATGGTGAAGCCTGGGGCTGCTCCTCTGTGGGAAGCACCAGTAACAGCCCAGGCAGACTCCGGGGCACAAGCAGTGGTGATGCAATCCAAAGTGAGATTGGAGAAGGCAGAGCAGCCACTGGTGTAAAATGAAGGCGCCATGGCAGGATCCTCCTACCCCAACCAGAAGATCCAATGGCTGGCAGGATGGGAAAGGCAGAAGCTGAGGCGGAATTATCCTTGGTACTGCCAGGGGTTGCCATGATTCATGGGTGTAAGTGGAAGGCCAGGAGGGCTGCAGAATGGGAACAGCCAGGGGAGTGGAAATTCCTGACCATGTGACATAGCCCTTCGGTAGAGCAACAGCAAGAGAGGTTTGTCAGAACAGAGGTACATGGAGTGGCATTGATGACGCCATCAACCCTGGGAACAATGTTTGGGACCGGCCAGGTGTCAGCAACACTGTTCCCTTCTCCACCCCAACCAGTGGGATTGAGGAGTGAGATAAGGAGCTGTGGGTCCCTGAGGGAGGGCTGCTTTCCCCCCTCCAGCAGCTGTGGGGTGAGACCCATAAGTTCCTGCAGTAGCAGGAGCTCAGGCTCAAGAAGCCCCACCAGTGGTGGGTTGCCACCGGGCTACATGCTGGTCCAAGATGCCCGGGAACCCACCCCCACCCTTCAAGGCTACATTTGATGGATGGCTAGAGAAGCTCACCTATTTCCTGAACCAGGTATGGAATTACTTGGAGAGATATGGAGAGGCTTATCCTGACAAGGTTGCCTGTATAAATAATATTACTTCGAATCTGGAAGGAGAGGCCATAGAGTGGGTGGTGTTTCTCCACAATGAAGGGACTCCGGTGTTGGGAAATGTTGACGCCTTCATGGAGGAGCTTCAAACTAGATTCGGGGATCCCACTCTAGTCCATTAGGCAGACTCCAGAATCTGCTCCATAAGGCAGGGAAACTTACCTGAGTATATTCGGGAATTCCAGAGCCTAGCTGGAAAGCTGAGAGGGTGGTCGGAGAGCTTACTGGTCTATCACTTCTGAGATGGCCTAAATAAAGGACTGTACCAAAGCTACCTACTCCAGGGGGAATCATAGATGACCTTCGAGCATGGTATCAGCTGGTGACCACGATGAAGCTAGATCTGTTGGGAGTATCAGCAACACGCAGCACATGAAAGTCACCCCATTGGAGTAAAGAGAAACACCTCCTGGCATGCAGGGGAGGGTAAGCTCCGCCTACAACCCCCGTGGCGGTCTCCTGGAGCCTGATTACAATGTGGGGAGGAGAGCCATTGAGCTGCCAATGGCTCAACCCCGCATCCTGTGCTAGCAGAGAGAACCCTGACCCAACCAAAGGCCAAGAAAACTCAGGAAAGCAAAGGAGAAGAAGCGAATGACACGGCAGGTTGTAGAGATCTCTTCACCCATCCAGTGAGATGGAGGGAACTGACCCACTGCAAACCTAACTTGGTCTTCTACGAGAACAGCAGTGAGGGGGAGATTGACCCGATGCCCTTTTGACCAAGGTGGATATTTTAGCGACTTAAATTATTAAGGCAGCCTATGAAGTTCAAGCAAGTAGATGGTTCCCTCACAGGGGAGGTGCCTGTGACTTATCTAACAAAGCCAGTGAGATGGCAGAGACTATAGAATTGGGGTTGTTGTGGCTGAAAAAAATGGAATCCATCAGTTGAGTGGGAGAACAAGTGGCGCCTGAAAAATAAAGCAGCAAAGTTGCAGGGGGTGGAGAAGGCGCACAAACTTGGGTGAGCATTATCAGCAGGGAAAGCGAAAGCGGAGTCAGGTCCTTCTCTTCACTAGACTAGCCAAGCCCAGTTCCTATAACTGTTCTTCATATGGTTTAGTCTCCAGTTCCCTAATCATCCTGGTTGCTTTTCTCTGCACTTTTTCTAGAGCCTCAACATTTGTTATAATGTGATACGGGACGAAATGCAACCACTTCGGCCTGAGGTGGTAGGGACAATTTGAATCAATTTGCCTAACTGATTAAAATCACCCCTGGTTGACCCCGCCCACACCCACCCAGTCGCTGCTCCATTGGGAGCCTGGCAAGAAAAGAAGGGGAAATTGATTTATCTGTCGAGCCTCCCCCTCTCCCCCTCTTCCCCTAAGGGCATCGCTGGCAGCTGCTTCCTGCGGCTCAGGAGGTCTGCTCCATGCTTTTCCCGCTGTTGCTCAGACTCCTTAACACATGGAGAAAAGGAGGCAGCAGCCACGACACTGGTTTGCTAGGGAGACTGCAGGATTGCCCCACCACTCTGGTCTTCAGCACCTGTTTTCATTTCATGTAGCTTGAATGGACCAGGATATAAGGTATAAATGTGGGATTTGTGGAATTCTTAAAATTTTTAATTTTTAAAAAAGTTTTTTTAAATAATGAATTTTAAACTTGAATGCTCTAATTCTCCAACTATTTTTAGTTTTAGATAAATTAAACTAACAGTGGAAAACTAGCAAAAGTTTAATCATTCTGATATAATTCAATCTGGATAGCATTAGGCTAAGCAACAGATTTTCTGACCTTTTACTGCAAACCGTGACTGGCATCTTCAGAGGCAACTGAGCCAGTCACATTATCAGCCCAATCCACCATTAAGGAGTGTTACTGGACACAAAATAAGAGCAGCAACGTTAATTACAAGTGCCACCCTGAAGTCATCAAAATTAAAAGCAGGATTTTAAAAAATCAAACCCAGAATCCAATTCAATTTCTTAAGAAAAGGAATCAGTGATCAGATAGCCATAATAGTCCAACTCTTTCCGTAGACAGTAATGATCAGATATATTCTTGTGCCCATTAGCATGTTTGCCTGTAGCAAAATAATACTGCCATGCTATAACTCATCAGCATTTAGCATCTATATTATGAATATATTTGCACCCTATATATTCCTAGAAACTAGGTGATATGGGTAGAAATAACCTACCTTGCTTGCTTTCTTATAATTTCTGACTAGTTACATCTTTAATGAATTCCCTTTTTAATTAGCTGAATATTTCCAAGATAGATTTTTTTTTGAGTGCCTACAAAGTGCTTCAAAATTGTGAAAGTCATCAGCCTAAAGAGAGGCTCTTCCTCATTTAGGGCTTAATTAATAAGTTTATTTTTGTTATGAAAAATGTGGGGAGAACAATGGCCACTGATTCCAACTTCTTTTTTGCATTAGCAGTTAAGTGGTATTGTGTTTGACCTAAGCACAATTGTATATTTTTAACTCTCCCAACTAGATAACTTTTGTCTGCAGTATTCATTTGAAGCACACTTCTGCTGTTTTTTGGGACAGGGTTTTGTCATACATGCAGGGAGAAGCCTCTAGGTAAATTGTATAAAATGAACAATGAAATGAGCAGTGGAAAGATAATGTCCAGCTGTAATTCAGTAGTTTATTTGTTTCAATTATTATCTAAGCCATCTAAAGAGATTATAATGTCCAGGTTGAAAGAGTTTGGAATGTTTGAAGATTTTTTTAAAATCTAAAAGGTAAAATCTAATTATAGCTTACAGATTTTCCTGCAACACTGAATCCATCCAAGATACACTACATCCTATTGTCACATCATAAGAATAGCATTAATAACCTTCAATACCATTTTGAAAGTTTTTAGATATGAAAATGATTTAAAATACAGGAATTGGTTCTGTTGTTAGAACCTTCATACAGACAATGCAAAAATATTGTTGGACATTATTCAGTCAATTCATATAAGCATTTTATTCTCAATGATTTTTTCTCTTTTGCATGATTATCATAATCTGATGTATTTTCCATATAGTAGGCTCACTGATGATATGATGTGCAGGTCGAACATATGTTCTGCTATTTAGCTAGTGTTATGTAGAATGTTCATTTAAGCCTAAGGCATGGTTGTCTTAAGTTATCACAAACATCAAATCGGTGGTGAAACTGTTTAACCAGTAAAGGGTCCAAACATTAAATATTAGAAAGTAGTTCTTCATCTGGGACTCTACAGTAGCTACAAGTCAGAATAGCCTTCATAAATAGGCCAAGCCTCTGAATCAGTATAAAACAGTTTCAAGTGTCAGTCGAGGTAGAAAATGGCATACTAATATGAAAAATGTCTTTTGTAACTTATTTTCAGTGTTTACACAGTGCTTACTGTGCTAGAATCTGTATTAGTTCTTTGCTTGATCTTTGCCTAGATTAGAAAGAGCCCTCTTTTCCCACATGCACAAATATAAAATGTGATACTGAAGTCTTGTCATTGCAAATGTATTTTTAAATTAGAACTCCTACTTGTTCTTATAACTTGTTAAAGGAAATATCAGAGGAAATGATCTTCAACAGAAGTGATTAAGAAGTATATATAGGTAATCTTTGTTTAGAGATAGTTTAGTGACCATTTGCAGTTATGGTAATGTTTTAAAAAATAACTTTATAATCCCTCCTCATATTTACTATCTTTGCAGATCTGTGAAGCAAAAGAAACCTGAAATAATCTTCTATCTATTCTATCTATATATTATATAAAAGAAACAGATCTCTGGAACTAAAAGATTATATTTATTGTACTTACTAAGCTTTCGTCAGCCTCTGTTGACATCATAGAGTATTAAGCTACCATTACAGAGATCTATGCCTTTATATATCATTAATCAGTTTAGTCTTGCATGTAATAGGCCCTTTCAACCGCCTCCCACCCATAATTAACCCTGTTGTTTTTGCTTCAGTCATGTTAGTCAAAGGAGGATTATCTCTTGTGGTTTCCTCCCTTATCAGACCCAGCCTGGGATGCTTATCTGTAAGAAGTGATGTTAACCTGCCAGCTATTGCAATTCATTGCTTTGCTTGTGACCTTGTGGTCGGCCCGGCTTGTTCTTCATTATTCCTGTCTGTTATAACTTGGGGCAGCTCTGCCAGGTTCTTCTGTATTTGAACAGGGCTGGCTGTGCCTTCATAGGATGAATCCACATGCCCAGGTGTGGGGGGTGCTATCGAACCCTGCTCCCCGATGGAAAGTGGTCTCTGCTCCTCCTGCAGGGTCTTTCTTGGTGCCTCAATGTTTGGTAGGCCGGTGGTAGTTCGATATGCCTATTGATAGAATTGCTGTTGGAAAACTGCTGGAAAACGTATGATTCTGCTCCTGTATATGTGCTCAGATCTGAGAGCGCTTTTCTTTGCACCGGACAGCCAGTTTGTGTTTGTGTACTCTGGTCTGCAGGAGCATAATCACACATTCAGTTTTCAAGAGCTGAGGCTGTTGCACGTGATATAACTAAAGAAGGATGTCTACCAAAAGAAGCCTGGTTTGTTTGTTGTGAAGTTGTGTCTGATCCATTGCAACCCCATGGACAATGTTCCTCCAGGCCTTCCTGTCGTCTATCTTCTGGAATCCATTTAAGCTCCTGCCTACTGCTTCAGTGACTCCATCCAGCCACCTCATTCTCTGTCGTCCGCTTCTTCTGTTGCCCTCAATCTTTCCCAGCATTAGGCTCTTCTCCGCAGAGAATTCTGACAAAATGTGATCCACTGGAGAAGGAAATGGCAACCCACTCCAGTATCTTTGCCATGAACACCCCATGGACAGTACCAAAAGGCAAAAAGATATGGAATTATTATGTATGTGTAAACAATATTGTGATTGGCATTAGAAGAATATACTGGAACATTGAATAATTAAAAAATGGAAGACTATAATTTAATACAAATGTGTATTGATGCTAGAATTACATAATTGATGAATGTAACAAATATGATCAATGTTTTTATTTTTGAGGGGGATTATTAATACACACATTTTTATATAACGAGATAGAAGCAATAATTAGAGGGAGGATTAGAAATTGAATAATGAAATTATCATGCATGTTTAAACACTATTGTGATTGGCATTAGAAGAATATACTGGAACATTGAATTAAATAATGAAAGATGATAATTTAATACAAATTTGTATATTAACATTAGAACTATATAAGTTTGATGAATGTAAGAGATATGATTGTTATTTTTATTTGCACCAAAATGTATGATACCCAGGTGCCACACTTGTTCATGCATTTGATGTGTATATGTAGAATAAAATAAAAAACTTGATTTAAAAAAGTGATTCTGCCATGGTAATGGCTTCACAGAGCTTTCTCTTATGGAGGAATAGAAGAATTGCCTGACAGACAGTACAACAGTGTGAGTTCTGACTACAGGATTTTCCTGTCTAATACAGGCTTGGGATAAAAAAATAACCAGGCAGCGCTGGGTTATCAGCTAGTAAAATAATAAAATACTGATGTTTCATGGACTTAGTGCTTCACTTAATGATTAGTTGCTGGTCCCAATGTGGTCATTAAACAAGGACTACCTGCAATACGATCTTAAACTACAACCTAGAAGCAAATCTTACCAAGTTCCATGAAACAGCACTCTAGTACGCTGTTTTATTCTTTTGAGGTCTCATTAAGAATTATTAGCATTTTAACCAAAAAAATACATTTTTCTTAAATTTGTGTAATATTTATTGATGTCAAACCCTTATGATACTAACTCAACAATCCAAAACAGTATGCTTTTACAGATTTATAAATACAAATAAAAAGAAGCAAATTGCCACTAGTTAAGCTAAAAAAAATAGTAATTAAGCTAAACAAGTCACATTGACAATTGGGCAAGGATTCAATTGCCTATATCCTACTGCTGAAGTGTTACTACCTGCACAAGCTATCATAGAAAAGTAATTATCTTTTGTGACAGAAGATTTTATTAGCCACTAAAAATCTGAATAGTGTACTTAATAACGAAGGGCAAAAGCAATACAGGAATAGCAGTTAATGCAAATTAAATGGCATGGCATATTACAAAACTTTTTTTCCTATTTTTATGAAAAAGTATGTATTTGAATAACTGAGTTGAGAAAAAGATTCAGATTTTTAATTATAAATAAAGTACTATAAACATGCTTCATATAAGGAATACAGTGTTTTCCTTTGTAGCAGAGTACTATTGTACCATTGGACTAAATTTATTTTCAGCAGATCTAACTGAAATAACCTTCTACTCTCTCTCAGTTGAATTCATTTTGAATCAAAATTGCTTAATATAATCTAAGTGAAATCCATTAACTGGAAAAAAAAAACCCAGTTAGGTTTCTCGCTGGTTAACAATTTTCAGTTCTTCACAAGTTCCCAGCCACATTCCTATTTATACTGCAGTAATCAAGAACACAAAAATGTAACCTCGAGTATACATGCAAGCAGTGCTTTAAAATGTAATAACATTTCCTTGTATTCCCCAACATTTACTTATCTAATCTCTATGGTATGCAAATTATTTAAACCCTTATTACAAACTCAACCCATTTTCCACTTACTCTATACTCCTAATTATCTTCCTTTCTATCACATATTCTACTCAATCAGATCTTTCAATATTATTTTAAAAAGTACTGAGGCTTTTTGAAGCACTGAGCATTTAAAAAGCTCACATATCATTTTTTGTGGAAGGTCTGACATTTGCCTTTTATCTCACTGTTATAAAAGTAACATGAATCTAAGCACCACATCCACAGGCAAAAGTCAAAAGCCTTCTGATATAAGATCACCTTACCTACCCAAATGCAATTAAGGCAAAACTAACATATCCTATTTCCTTTGAGACTAGAAAGTCAATTATAAACACAAAAACATCACTTATCTCTTTTCCCTTTTCTATCTTGCTTTACTCATTCAGTATTGCACATCTGAATATTATTATAATGCACTCCTAATACATTTTAGTGTACTTCTATTCTTTATACATTAATAGCACTTACAAACTGCAAAGGCACTTAGCGATAAGTGTGCAGCATATTTATTGCAAAATTTCACTCAATTTAACACTTGTGAATAGGATGATTCAAAACAGTATTATCTACAATGCAATTAGAAATGGTTATAGTGAAGGTGATTTGTATATGCAGACTGTCTGTCTCTACAGACTCTTAATTTGTTATACTGAACAAAACAGATGTGGCTGGATTCTTTTGCACACAGAGGTGTCTGTCTTGCATACGGTGGCGTAGATTATCATTGATCCATACAATGGCATTCAGTGTTTTCAATTTGAAAGGAAATGGTATATCTGGTATTTAATACTTAAAGATCATCACTTTCTACCAATCCAGACTGCAACGTCAGATGTCCTGGGTTTGCTTCGGGCTGAAATGCAGCTTTGATGTCTAGTCCTTGGTCAGAAAGTGCTGCATACCGGCTGGCTGAGGGACGCACTTTCTTTGGCTTAGTGGTTTGGGACTGTTGTTGCCACTGAGCTGGAAAAAAAGAAAAAAAGGGAAACAATTTACCAATGCCTCAAAACACAAAAATGGGGACAATTACTGAGCCATTTTACCTTCTTTGAGGAGAAAAGGACCAATCATTCAATTTAATTAAAGAATTATCACAAAACTATCTAAAATCAAATTGCTGAAGATGTATTCATATAGCAATTATCAACCAGAAAATCAAGTTACCAAATCTACTGGAGATGTTTTGTTAATATAAGAAGGGTAGGGAGATGTGCTGCCTTACGTTCAGTCACTATCATAAATTGATTTTTTGTGCTCTTTCACAGTGAGATCTGTTCCCCTTCTTTGCCTCATAATGTCAACTCATAAAACATTTTCTATACATGTTTTATAGTTGTCAACAGAAAGAGGGAGTTTCAAAGAGCAGGTGGCAGTGTGGAATCGAAAGTACTTCCCATTCATATTTTCTTCAAAGACGGATTAGATGACTGAAGCTTCTGCCGCACAAAAAACTAATTGGAGAGCGTGATTGATGACTCTTGGCTATGGACGTGTTTCGTTGGAGAATTGAATACCCAGAGGAGTGGGAGGAAAAGCAGGGTCAAGGGTGACAGTGAATTACATGTCTCAGAGTCGGCTACGCCCAGGTCATGCCGACATATTGATTTCCAGTAAATCCTTTGACGTTTTGGGACTGTGGCTCAAGACTCATGATTTAATTGGAGTAACTGCCAGAATACTGACACATATTTAGTTGGTTATTTTATGCTGATTTCTAAAGATAATGGATGTGAAAAACAATATAAACTCCTGAAAGTATATGAAGCTGACTTTGGCTTTATCCAGATTCATTTCTAACTGGCAGAGTGTTTAAAATAAGCTATCCCTGTACACACCGACACACACAGACAAGTTAAGAACAAGTATTCCTTTGACCCAGGACTCTTCTATGCCATTGACTTCTATACAGATGCTAGAAGACTACCAAGTTTCAGTGGAACTTCTAAATAAAAGAAGAGGAATGTGATCTTAACAAATTCAAGTAAGTAAATTCAAGTAAGAATAACAACATACAACTAAAACTTTTTAACATTACAATAATGACAAAGGATTATTTCACCTAAAACATGACTTATTCTATACCAGCCTTTTCTAAAACATTTTTATAGACAGAAAAAAAAATATAAAGGTTGGTTTGCTCTCTGATAATCATGCAGTGTACTCTTTTAGATCTGCAGTAGCAGCAGGTTTCACTATATCCCCCCCCCCCCCCCCCCCGGTTACCACTCTTAAATCTCCAATTTTATCTATATTCCCTGCCTTGTTTTTGTATAATTTTCTTGCTCTTTTTGTCCTTATTCTGCTTGGTAACAGTATAAATGACTTTTTTTTATCTTTTTATCAAAAGATCTTTTCACACACAACATGATGGCAATGTTGAACATGGACTGACTGCAAATCCCTGCAAAGAAATACAATTAGATGGGGATGATAATGATTACCTCACTGACATGGCATGGACTCTTCAAATCTACATTTAGAATATATGCACCAGAACGTGAGGAAGGCTGTTTTCAGAGGCTTGAACCAATTATGGTTATATTAAAAAGAATGGTTATGCTTTATAAGTGGGTTTGATCTAAAAGTCAACACACCTGACTCTAATATTGTTATTATATAAGGAATAGCTATAGGTTTGGGACAATTCTTCCAAATACTATCAACATTCATATAGCATCTTACTATAGACATCCAGTCTTGCTGTGCAGGAAACAATCCCAGCTTCATTTTTTGCTGATACAGTGTACCAACCAGCATCTTCTTTTGTAGCTCCCTGAATAAGCAGGCAGATGTATCCATGATTATCTTGGTGCATGCTTAAAAGAATAAAGAGACACATGAAAACATATAACTAAATAACTGGCATAAATGTATAAATCTACAACTTGCCTAATGGTATAACCGGAACTAGGGGTGGGATTCTACCAGTTCATACCTATTCGCTAGAACCAGTTGTTAACATTCTAAGCAGTTCGGAGAACCGGTTGTTAGAAGAAATTACTGGCCTAATCCTGTAAGGAAGGCAGGAAGGAAACATTCTGGTGTTGCTTACAGAAACTGCCTCTCCATTAACCCTTATTACATTCTTGGCAGGACTAGATTTCCTGTCTCAGGAACTTCTCTGGAGTTTTCCCCCCCTCCTTTGCTGGTACTTTGCTTGTGTGGAATGACCATTTAAAGTTACAATGGCACTGAAAAAAGTGACTTATGACCCTTTTTCACACTTACGACTGTTGCAGCATCCCCAGTCATAAGAGGCCAGGTGAGGAGATGCGTGCCTCAATGTGAATGATATTGAGTTGGCCATGCCCAGCCAATAACATGACCACCAAGCCATGTCCAACCAGTCACATGACCACCAAGCATGCCCACCACCTAACCCACGCCTACAGAACTGGTTGTTAAATTTTTTGAATCCCACCCTTTTCTGGAACTGAACACACTCAAAGCTGTAGAAATGGTGGTAGACTTTAGAAGAAATCCTCCCATACTACCACCTCTTACAATACTAGACAACACAGTATCAACAGTAAAGACCTTCAAATTTCTAGGTTCTACTATATCACATGACCTAAAATGGACACCAAAATTGTCATCAAAAAAGCACAATTCTTTCTGCGCCAACTCAGAAAGCTCAAACTGCCCAAGGAGCTGCTGATACAGTTCTACAGAGGAATTATTGAGTATCATCTGCACCTCTATAACTGTCTGGTTTGGTTTTGCAACCCAACAGACACAGACTTCAGAGGATAATTAGGACTGCAGAAAAAACTATTACTACCAACCTGCCTTCAATCGAGGACCTGTATACTGCATGAGTCAAAAAGAGGGCTGTCAAAATATTTACAAACCCCTCACATCCTGGACATAAAGTGCTTCAACTCCTTCCCTCAAAACGATGTTATAGAGCACTAAAACCAGAACAACTAGACACAGGAACAGTTTTTTCCTGAATGCCATCACTCTGCTAAACAAATAATTCCCTCAACACTGTTCAACTATTACAAAGTCTGCACTACTACCACTGTTAATCTTCTCATCACTTCTTATCATCCATCCCCTCCCACTTGTAACTGTATGACTGTAACTTTATCACTTGTATCCTTACAATTTTATATTGACTGTTTCCTAGTATGATTTGATTGTTGATTGTACCCTATGACTATCATTAAGTGTTGGAACTTATGATTCTTGATTCTTAACGAATGTATCTTTTCTTTTATGTATACTGAGAGTATTTACACCAAGACAAATTCCGTGTGTCCAATCACACTTGGCCAATAAAGTATTCTATTCTATTTATATTGACTGTTTCCTAGTATGATTTGGTTGCTTATTGTACCCTATGACTATAAGTGTTGTACCTTATGATTCTTGTGTATCTTTTCTTTTATGCATACTGAGTATTTGCACCAAGACAAATTCCTTGTGTGTCCAACCACACTTGGCAAATAAAGAATTCTATTCTATTCTATAAATTATTTTAAATAACTCTGAATGATAAACAAGTATGTTTCAGCACATAGATCAAGTGAACAGATGTAGTCCTTGACTTATGTCGCTTAGGGACTACTAGAAGTTACAATAGACTCCAAAAATGGAATCTATGACACAGTTTCCAAGTTCCAAGATCTGTCCCCTGGTCATTTTGAGCATTCAGCAACAGCCCACATTTACCGAGATTTGCAGTCATGTGACTGTGGTTTATTATGCTTTTTGCCAGAAACCAGTGTTTACTTCTGTCAAAAACCACCTTACAGCAAACAATGGATTCACTTCACAACCACCACATTCATTTTATGACTAACATATTTGCTTAATGACCATTACAAAAACAGTGAACAATGCGGCCTAGACTATATAGACACATTATGGGTTTTCCCCTGCCATAAGGGAAAATGTGCTTATACATGGGATTTTTGAATCTACCTGCTAAATGTGGCAGTTGCATAGCATTTTAAGTGTGATCAGATAAAAAGCTCACAATCATTTGGTAAAATTCTATATGACAAATAAATACCTTCTCTTTAAAACCTAGTCAGATGAAGTATTTAAAAACTCAAGTTCTTAAATGGATAAAACAAAACTTAGTCACCATGGAAATGAAATTTTGAGAAAATCAGAAATGAGACCATAGGAGAAAAAATTGGCATAGAATCAATCCTAAACTACATACAAAACCAGCAAAGTGGTTTGCTCGCCCGGAGAGGATGTCATGGGATTCCATACATACAAAGCATATAAAAAAAGAGAAGTTCAAAGAACACAAGCTAGACACAGAAGAAAACGGAGAGACAACATCAAAGACATACAACAACAACATAAATTAACAATGATTGAGGTCACCAGAAGAGTAACAGCCAGAACTTTGCATTTCTCTTGACATTCAGTACGGTAAAGGAGAAGGAGGGGAAGAAGAAGAAAGAAGAAGAAGAAGAAAGAAGAAGAAGAGGAAGAAGAAGTACTAGTAGCTCTTAAATGGAAAGTGACATTAAGCTTATATCTGGAATTACAGAAATCACAAGTTGAATGATCTCCTACGCAATGTAATTATGAAGGTTATAAAATGAAATAGAATATTAAATAGTAATGTTACCCCCCACATTTTTAGATTGCAATCAAAAGCCTCCAAACATTTTAGCTCCATTCAATTTCAACACTTTCAACTTTTGTTTGTTTACTTGTATCATAGCCATCACAATTAAAATTACTATACGACGTAGCATTTAGAAGATAAAATACAAGATTAAGATATCCACAGGTTAAACAGATTTTGCCCAGAAACTAGTAACATTAATTGTATTGTGTTGTACTGCCTGATCAATTGTGCACTGATCACGACACAAAGGATAATACACATATTTGTTGTTGTCTGCATGTTACCACAATTGCAAAGGGAAGAATCCTGGATAATCCTATTATTTTCAGAGTGTCTCTGGCTCTAGTTGTGCCCGTGTGCAATCTATTCAACAACTTCCATACTTCCCAACTTTTACCAGACTTGGCTGCTCCATTGATTTGTTCCAGTGTTGGTTCTTTGCAGCTTTCCATAGGTCCTCTCTGCTTTTAAACTTTTGAAGTCTTCCGTTGATGTAAGGAAACTTTTCTTAGATTTTAATTTCTGATGAACTGGTTGTAGGCATAGAGGGTGTTTTTCTAGATACAAATGATTTAAGCCTGTCTCTGTATGATGCTGCTTCTCTGCAAACAGAAGGTGGGGTGCAATGCTGGCTAGGTGGAGATCTTATCTAGAGGGGTAGTTTTAAGGTATCCAGTAATAATTCTGCTAGTTTCATTCAGAGCAACATCTACTTTCCCATCAAGTGCTGATTTATATCAGACTGGGCAAATGTATTTGCTTGCAGAATAGCAAAAGGCTAAAGCTGTTGTCAGAAGAATCCTTGGGTTGGCACTCCAGGTAGAGCTCATGATATATTTATTTATTTATAGAGGATGTTTTTTTCATTCACTGACCTTCAATTCAGTGTTGGTGCAGTGCTGCTTATATGTTAGGGCCTATCTAGAGTGAGCCTTAAATATTTATGGCTGTAGCAGTGCTCCAATAATGTCCTTTTCCATATAATATGCAGCTTCCTAGCAGCCTGCTTATTGCGAAGATGGAAGGTACATACCTGAATTTTTGCTGGATTTGGCCTTAACTGGTTATCACAATAGTATCGATCTAACTCTGCCAGGGTTTTCAGTTAAATGTTGTTCAACCTCCTCAAATGTTTCTCCATGTACAGCCATTGCTCAGTCATCAGTACACATACAGTTATTATAACCCATACATTGGTATAAATATTAAAAAGAATTGGAGCCAATACATTTCCCTAAAGTAAATGTACCTTTGATTCTTCCATCTACTTGAACTCCACAAAAAATATGTGGTTCTGAAGCAGATTCCTAATGATATCTGTAAGTTTAAAATCTGTAATCATATGATACACTTTCTGCTTCAGCCTTCTAAGATTGATGGTATCATATGTGGCCGTGAGATCTGAGTACAATTCTTGATATGTTACATTCGAGTATGCTCATACATCCAGTATGCTCATGAAAGGAGCTTCCCTGAAGAATGTGGTTCCCTGAAGAATGTGTGCTGTTAACACATCTGGATGTCCCCTGGGCAACAGTTTATAGTTAGCTAATTCTTTCAATCCAGAAGAATCCAAAGCACAGTGAAGTGCTCATTCCCACCTGTAACAATGTCAAGTGCTCATAAGTTTTTGAGGGGTACTTATACAAATATTCATGAGAATTACAGTATATTACACTTTTCCTTTAGAAGGTCTAATTGGTACATAGCACCTCTTTCTCCAATTTCTTTTTTTACCACCAGAATCAGAGATGGGGGCAGTTAGGAGAACTGGCTAATCCCACCCTGTCTGCCCCACCTACCCTGACCCTCCTTATCTCACCTGGCCTGCCTTGACTGGTGCCTAGAGTTATGCATGTGTCCCTGCTGTTCTCTGGCTCCTTTGCGCGCTCGCTTGCCCGGACTACGCGGCCCCCGTGGTTGAGCTGATCTTCGTGCCTTGCCTGCTTGCCTGCCTTTGCCGTGGCCGGCCATGCGGCCCAGCTGATCTCTGTGCTTCGCCCGCTCTGCTCACCACAGTTGCCTGCAAAGGTAAGGCACTTGGCTGAAGGGCCACCTCGTGGCGGACACTGTGAAGCTCGGCCACCTTTTGGCCTGGCTCTTGCCATCCTTTTGCCTGCATGCTGCCTGCTCGCCCTCCGCCTTGGGTTGGGGAGGAGACACGCCAGTTCCTGCCTCTCGCCTTCCACGGGGCCTCCATCCACATGCTGCCCACTCGCCCTCTCCCCCACCTCAGGTTCTGCATTCAGGCCACGACAGGGAGACCACTGTACTAGGGCCAAGACTTCTGCTCTGCTGCATTGCACATATGCAGACCCGGGAGGCCCGCGTGCTGCCTGCCTTCCTGGAGCGCCACCATTGCTTGGTGCTGTGCCTGTTGGGATATGAAGTGCAAGGCGCTTGAGCCAGCAGAGGCATGTGGAAACTCTGGAGCTTGCCTTCGGGACGGATCAGTTTGTCCAAGCCAGGCTTTGCTCCCTGGGAAGGGCTCCATGGCCGCACTTTTGAAAAAGGACTTTTAATGAAACCTCCAATGCAGCTGCCAAAATCCAATCCCGAGCCAAAAGACCCCCTCCCCACCCGGTGCGTCTGCTTCATCTCGCTAAATTGGGTCTAGAGCCTGGAGGAGGACGAGAAATTTAACATGCAGGAGTGGGGGAAGGATGGAAAGGCAGCAGAGTGAGGTTCATGAAGTAAACTCCCGTTTCTTAGCGTGGACCAGCAAAAGGCGGTGGGTGGCGAATACAAAATACAACTGGAGAGATGGAACAGTGCTTGGCCATCCAGGCTTTAAAGAAAAGTTCAATTCAGGGCGAGGGGCACAACCAACACTTCTTTCTAAAACGGAAGATCCTGCTAAGCTCCAGATCCTACAAAACAAGCCGTGCTGTTCAATCCATGCGCCCACCTTCTGCCTTCTGACACCTCCTCCCCGCCACCCCACTTGTGGCTGCTAGCAGAGAGGGGAGTGCTTCTGGGACGAGGGGAGCCGGGAAGAGAAAAGGCAGCTTGCAAGAGTGGAGACAGGAGAACAAAGCAAATGAGTGGCCAGCCAGTCTCTTTATTCCCCCTCACTCCCAAGGCAGCACTCATATCTCCTCATATGAGAAGCGACCGAAGGGCCTTCTTGCCGGGAGCGCTGCCCTAGTTTGGATTCCCCATCTCCCTCTGCAGCCCTCGGTTGAGTGCACCTGCCCCACCGAGAAGAGAAGCGGACTGCTTCAGTGACATCACCACCACCTAAGCCCAAAATCTTTCATCTTGAAATGTTTCTTGAAAGTCACCCCAAAGCGATGAGCAAAGTAGGCTCCTTATCCTACATTCTCATTAGGGGTAGTCCTCGACTTATGGCCATAACTGAGCCAAAATTTCCATTGCTAAGCAAGATTTAAGTGAGTTTTGCTTGTGATTTTTGCTTACCATCATTAAGTGATGTTCAGTTGTAGTAAATAAATAGAGATTGTATCTTGTTGGGGCCTTTGAGGCGAGTGGTTGGGAGGCAGAGCCAGCTGTGGTGAGTGATGTCGATTTAGCCATGCCCACCCAGTCACATGCCCCCCCAGCCACGCCTACCCAGCAGAGAAACGGTTGTTAAATTATTTGAATCCCACCACTGATCAGAATCCTATAATATAGATCGAGCTGATGGAGTATGACTAATCCAAAGTCATCTAGTGAGCTTCTGCAACTGAAAGTGGGATTGGATATACAATAACTTTCAGGGTCTAATCCAGCATTTCATTGCTAAACTACACTGATTCATCAGGTCAATTTGAATGTGATCTGCTTATAATGACTATAAATTTTAATTTATGACAATAAAAAGCTTCATTTTGCAATAAATATTAAGCAAGTATAAATTGGTTCTCAAACCAATAATGGTAATTGAAAGTGCTATGAGATAATCTGTATTTAGGAGTAAATAAGAGATTTTTGGTTATGTTCAGAAGATAGAAAAGTGTATCATTGGAAGGTTTCAACTATAGAACTAAAATAAAAGTTCAACTGCAGCAGGGACAATGCCGATTCCTGTTTCACACCATTCATTTGTTATGAAGATGTAACCTATGGGATACTATCATATAACTGCTATCTACATGAATTCCTTTGTAAAAAGCCTTTCTCAGGGTCTGAATGTTACTTTAAAATTAACAGACATGTATAATTCCCTTAGGTCTGGCTTCATTTGTCTATAAGATGACTTACTCCGGGCAATGGCCAGTAAACGCATCATTGGCTCAAACTGTTCATGTATTAGTTATGTTTACTGTTGCTCAAGCCTTTAAACATTCAACAGACAAGTGACACAGTTAATAAACAGAATATGACACTAACCTCACTCTGTCGGTGTTGTATATGAGTGACTCATTTTCCTTCTTCCAGAAAATCTGAGGTGGAGGCACACCTGAAATCCGGCATTCCAGTCGCACTGGAAACCTCTCAGCCACTCCTGTATTCTGTAGTTTCTCTGTAAATACAGGTGGCTTGTGTGCTTCCTTCGCTGAAAAGACAGAGATGTCCCCCATCCCTTATATCAGTATATATTTTGTAGTGTGTCCTCTTAACATTGCTTAGCATTAGGGGTACCTGACAAAGAGAAGTTGGAATTTGGAAAATGAAAATGTCACTTTATTTGCTGCTACCTAAAGGGCGGTGGCCTAGCCAATTGGCTATAATGAAATGTAATATTTTGCCAGAATTGCTGATGATTCTCCTGTAATGAGCACACCATCCAAATATTCCAGCTTGGCTCTGTTTTCCTATAGGGAATCATGAAGCAAAAGCTCATGCAGAAGTCAGAACTTTTAATTATATCCACAGACAGACTCAATTTCTCACTTCCCAATCAACTTCAAACTTTGCTTTCTGTTTCTTTTGGGGAGGCAATAAGATATCTCAGTGTGGATATAATAGGCTGCTATAGCTTCCTTGTTAATTTCTGGAAAAAAAACCCATTACTTCTACTAACAAGGAAAGCAAGTAGGGGTTCATTCAGTTTGTCCTGCTCATGGAACAAGGAGCTAGACTTCTTAGCAATTTGAGCTTACTATTATGTCTGCATATGGCCAGAATTTCATCAAAAAAACATAGCAGAGATGTTTTTTTCTCTTATCAAAATTTATTTATAAATGCTTTCTAATAGAAACCTATAGATAAGCACATAGGCCAAGGAGAGTTTTTCATACCTTCTGCAGGATATAGAGCTATTGATGTATTTCTTTCACATAAGGCCTTTTGAAATATTATAACTTTGGAGCTGGTTTTACATGAATGGCTGCCACATAACAGATATTCTAAGCACTGCAGACAATGGCTGGCTTCAAGGCTCTTTTATCTATAAAAGTGAGATTAACTATCTCCAAGTGCCAGCTTCGCTCAGATGCTTCCTGTTGGATCATTTACATAATCACATAGCAATATGCATGCTACTCACATGAAAGCTAGCTTTAAAGATCCCTATAAATAAATGCATTTCCATTTCAGATATGTCATTTGCTGCTTACAACTGGAATAATACAGTAATGAATTCAAATCATCAGCTGGAACACAATCCACCCAGATCTCCTAAACATCTGTTATATAGTTCCAAAATAGTGATGGCAGCATAGATTATATATTCATCCCTTTTGGTGATCTACATTCATTCAGTTATAAGAGTGAGGCTAATTTTCTTGCTTCTTGCTTCCTCTTTATAAAAAGAGGTCTCAGCCGGCAGCTCCAATGTGCCAGTCTGCAACTCATTCATAAACTGTCACCACATCCCAATATGCACCTTAGGCACCTTCAAGTAAAATGGGGTTTTAATACTAGCCTGTTACAGTACAGAGAGAATGGATAGCATAATATTGCTGATTGGCTTAAAAACAACCAGGAAACTTTTGTCAAATGGCAAAATGTGTGCTAAAAAGAAGTATATAGAGAAAGGAGCCACAGTTGATCATTATGTTCAGGGACTCAAATCCATTTTTTCAAATTATGCAAGTGTCCTACCTGTCACAATCAGTTCCAGGCTGAAAGTGTTCTGGCCAGCTCGATTAGTGGCAATACATGTATAGATGCCAGCATCCCTTGCTGTGACTGGCTCTATGATTAAGGAGTGTATACCATTTTCCCGTACAAGCATTTTGTGGGAATTATCAGATCGTATTACTCTTCCATTAAGTTGCCAGCTGATATCGGGAGTTGGCAAGCCACTGACCTTAAATAAAACACACCACAGTCCTCAGGAAAGCAAAAGTGTGCAAAGGCTATAGACAAGCTGTGACAATTTGTTTCAGTGCATTTTATTCTGTTATCCCTGAAGACCACAAATGGATCAAAAACCATCAACTCTTTCTGCATGCATGAGCAAACTTTTTAGTATTCATAGATTTCATTGAGGTAAACAATTCTATTTGAATTGAGGTTCCATAACAAAATTAAGTTCCACAATTCACAGAAAAAAAAGATTTCATGCCTCGTGATCTTCTTTACATTTAATAATATCTTGATTGTTACTTTCAAGGAGGAATGTGTTGAAAAGGTTTCATTGAACAAAATTTCTTTTCAACTGTACACTATTCAGAAAATTAAACTCCATATTCTGAATCCTATAAATCAAATTTCAGCTCGTTGAATGATAAATACCACTAATAACGATTCCTGCTTGGCAAAGGTCATTTATTAGCAATTGTTTAAAGTTACAACAGCACTGGAAAAAGTGAGTCCTCGCACTTACGATTGTTGCAGCAATTTCAAGGTCACGTGACCAAAATTCTTGTGCTTGGTAACTAGCATGTATTTAGGTTGGTCACAGAAGCCTGAGGCCACATGATTGCCGTTTGCAACCATCCTAGATGGCTTCTGCCAAGCAAAGCCAACGGAGGAAGCCAGGTTCACTTAATGACCATTCACTGAACTGCAGTAATTTGTTTCACAAAAAAGGTGGCAAAAGAGTCACCAAATCAGGCACTTAATAACTACCTTAGCAACAGAAATTCTGGTACTAATTGTGGTCATAAATCAAGGACTATCTGTAACCTATATGTTCAATATTAAAAATAGAAATTTAAATATACCTTGCAATCCATTCTACAAAGTTTTCCTTCTTGAATTATCAGATCTCCTGGAGCCTGCAGGAAATGTGGCCGGAAGAAGCGTTCCTGGATTGGTTCATTTTCATCTCCACTATCCCTTGATCGAGATCGTGGTCTATAGATAACATGTAAGTCACCCCAGATTAACCTAGTATATTCCCAAATTTACTCACATTGATAGAGTCAAACAGATATTACTGCAGATTTAGTTAACTCTTTCAATGGAAACTATTCATTGTTATTGCTACTTATCTCCAAGTCTTCTCCATTTTCCTTCTCAAATAATCAACTCTGCATTTCATTTGCATATCATTACAAAAAGGGATGCAAAAACATCACAAATTGATTTCTAGGTTCAAGTGTATTATGGAAAAGATTTTCTTTTCTCCACTCTAATTTAATTTACTTCATCAACAGGCAAGCAGAACTATAATACTTTACCTAATGAATTGCAATGCAATCTGTCAAGAGCTGTTTCATAATTTATAAATCAACTATCGGTATATTCCTTGTTGAAATTTTGCATCTTTTGGGGGTCTGTACAATAAACATCTGTCACGTCAATAACAGAATAACAAAATGCATTACATAGACCATGAGACAGACTGAGAAATGAAATTGCTAACTAAAAAGTCCTAAATAATTGCTTTATTATTTTTATTGAAGAGTGCAATTAAAAGCTTAATTATTAAAAGTAACAATCTCATATAAATACTAAAAACATCATAAAAACTAAAAAATATTTAGCTCAGTTCAGATTCAACAAGTTTTCAGTTATGTAATGCAATATTTGTCACTGAATTTTTCCTGTGATGTAAAATAATTTTTCATCTCCAAAAATGAATTCAATTTGAAAAGCATCAGATAAATACAGAGGAGAGATTGAGCTAATTATGTATGTCCTTAGTCAGTAATACCAATAAAGTAATAATGATAAAAAATATATAGGTAGTCCTTAATTTAAAACAGTTCATTTAGTGACTGTTCAAACTTTCAAGGACACTGAAAAAGTGACTTATGACCATTTTTCACACTACAACCGTTGCATCACATGATCAAAATTCAGATTCTTGGCAACTGACTCATATTTTAGGACACTTGCAATGTCCTGGGGTCATATGTGGTCATATTTGGTGACTTTCTGACAAGCAAGTCAATGGGGAAGCAAGATTCACTTAACAACCGTGTTACTAACTTAACAACTGCAGTAATTTACTTAACAAATTTGGCAAGGAAGATTGTAAAGTGGGGCAAAACTCACTTAACAAATGTTTCACGTAGCAACAGAAATTTTGGGCTCAGATGTGGTTGTAAGTCAAGGATTACCTTTATTAGAGCCATACATCTTTTCTAAGTTCATAATTAATTATAATACCTTCTGATATGAGGCTGGGTTGGAGGTGTCCTGGGGCTGCGTCCCCTCTGATTGACAGCTTGGACCATCAATCGTCCTGTACAGCTTATTCTCCCCTACGATTTGAAATTAAAGAAGAGAAAAATTATATAAATGTGAAACCATTTTTCTAAATAGCCTTCTTTTAACAATGAAGTCTTCTAACAGTCCTTTAGTTGTTACTCACATACTTCTACAAACTGTTTGTTTTTAAAGATTAAAACATTATTTTTTTTGGTTTGGAGTTATTTCCATGGTAGTGTAATCACATATTTCACATGAGCTGTTGCAAACCCAACAAGAAATGAGGTGGTCAATGAATACTTAAAAACTCAGAAATACAAACAGCTGTATAAAACAGAACACAGGATATGCAGCAATGACCTATGAAAATGTAGTTTTGTTTTCTTTTAATTCTATAAAACTCTGTGTTATATCTTTATTAGGCGAATGCCATTACAAGTAATGTAGTAATTGGTTAATCAGAAAAGATTTTAACCAACCCGCAATGCTGCAAAACAAAGATGGAAGCAAACTGGAAAATCTTTAGAAGCATTAATATTTAGAAGCATAGCCAGCTGCACCAACAGGCTGAAGAACAGTTTCTACCCGTGGACTGTCAGACTCCTGAATGGAAAATAACTTCATGTCAACATAGTATGATAGACTTGTGAGGACGGTGTGTTGTGCAATGTTCACATGGTACAATAAGATAGGTATGTTTGTTAGTAAGATTCACTGGGTTAGGGATTTTTCTTTTTTGTCTTCACTGTGAGTTGTGTTGGGAGGAGGTGCACGAAGAGAGACTCAGCCAATTTCATTGTACACACATTGTACTCTGACAATAAAAGTTGATTTGATTTGATTTGAATATGTTATTTCTAATATCAGCAATTCTGTGCTTCGTGTTGCCTTCGTACCAGAAGTTGGCCTATTCAAATTATTATAAAGAGCCATGTAGAAATTCTACCATTCTGCCACTGTAATGAGATACATTTCTTGAGCCTTGTTTCTTTTAAATTCAAAAGAATTATTCGTTCAGCATTTGTAGTTTTGTCTGACCTTTAAATATGACAGCCTCAATTAAATTCTTTTTCTTCCCTATCATAGCTGTTACCTAATTAAACTGTTCTAGCTCACAGACGAAATTTAATGAATAGCAACTATGATTTCTTTTCTCACTATTAGGTTTTCTTGCAATCACTGTACCAAAAATTAAGCTAAATAACCACACAAATAATTCTAACATCCATATATAGTTCTGTCTACAGTATTTATCTATCCATCCATGCATCCTTCTTTCTATCTTACCCTCCAACATTTAAAGTATGTATTCATGGCTAAATGCTCAGATTGAAGGTTGTACAGCATAATTCACTACACTGAAATGAACCTGGTTACAGCAATATATGGATGAGGAACAGAGTTCCTAAATAAATGGATCACTATAATTACACCCAGCTGAACCTGACTATATGATCTACATGATCAGAAGGACTTACTGACGACATTAAAACAGCCAACGGTGTTCATTAAACACTGTTGCGCCAGATTAGAAAGTTGTTGCTTTCAGACATACATATATATTCATTTCAGGAAAACATACTCTGTGTGTGACCTCGTACAACCAGGTGGGCGGGGATTAGGGCTTATTTTGTGGAAAAGGTTTGTTTTAGGCACAGGCATGAAAATCGGGCTAGGACTTTTTTTTTTTAATAACTGTTATTAAAACAACCATTAATTCACACATGACTGGATACCAGAACAGGGCTTGAAGCATTAAAAAAACCTCTATGAACATAGAAAAATTAACTAACATTTGTGATTTTGCACAAATATTTAAAGAAATTATCCACAAAACATGTGAAGTATAAAAGCTGAATGTAATTGCAACAACATAATCAGAAACACAGGAAGTAAATGCCTTTTTATGCAAAGAGAAAGGAAAACTATAATTGCAACAATTAAATATATTTAAATTTTCTTTAGATTTTTCAAGAATTTAAAACCTTCCCAGGGCGTTCAAAATAAGTGGACTGAAAGACAGGCTGGGCTGGGGAAATTAGGACCAAGTCAAAATAGAATGCTACTATTGCAATCAGGGTGGAGGTTTCTGAATGTATAGCTTGGTTTCTTAGCTGTTGTCACCCATGGTTCTGACAGTATTTCTTAGCAGGATGAGTTTCATAAGACAAGTGATTATATTTAAAGACTGTCCAACAACTGCAACTAAATAGCCTTTAAATAAGGTAGGGACAACTGCTATATCCTGAGAACCTGACACTTTAATTGAACTGCTGCTTAACCACTCAAAAAGTAAAACCACCGTAGGGAAACTGGGAAAAATTATTTACAATGATGTGAAAAAGTAGCTATACCACACTGCATTTTAAAATACTTTTTCAATGTATTTCAACATAGAAATATTTTAATCTTCATTTTAGCAGTACTGATAGATATCATGCTTACAGATTTTTGTTTTGTAGTTCACTGTGTAATTTAAATAAACATAACTGTGCATTTCTTCACAGAAGGAAAAAGGCACACCTATTACTTTTTATTTTATTTAGTTTTTAGATTTATGTGGCTGCCCATCTGAAGCAACTCTAGGCGCCTTATAATCACTTTTGCTGAAGAAACGATGCAAACTAATAGGGATGCAGCACAGGTATTTTGAAGTATCTGAAAATACAGGTACACAGTACTCCCTGTACTTACAATAGTTCATTTAGTGACTGAAGTTACAACAGCATTGAAAAAAAAGACTTATGACCACTTTTCACACTTACAACCACTGCAGCATCCTCATGGTCATGTGATCAAAATTCAGATACTTGGCAATTGGTTCATATTTATGATGGTTGCAGTGTCCTGGGGTCATGTGACACCTTTTGTGACCTTCTGATAAGAAAGTCAATAGAGAAGCTAGGTCCACTTAACAACTGTGGTACTAATTTAGTAAGTGCCGAGATTCATTGTTGCTAGAAAAGTGGTAAAATGGGACAAAATTCATCTAACAAATATCTCCCTTAGCAACAGAAATTTTGGGCTCAATTGTGATTGTAGGTTAAGGACTAGGTGTAATTTGTTCGACAATGTTAAAACCTATTACCGTGCTACACAGGCCATGGGAAAACCAAGAGTCAGTGGGCTGAAGTGGGCAGAGCCCCAGAAGTCTCTTCATGTGGTGACACTGGTAGCAGATGGGAGGAAGATGGAAAGGGGGAAGGGGAAGGCGGGCAATCCTGAATGACATGAAGATGACCCTCCTGTGGCTGCCCACCCACTCCATCCCACTGTTCTTTTATTTGTATTTGTATGTTTGTGAAAACTTAAATAAAACTTTTATTCAAAAAAAAAGGAAAAAAGAAAGAAAAATGAAATAAGATTGGTTTGGCATGATCTATTTCTAACAAACCCGTGCTGACTGCTAATTATTAGTTTACTCGTTTCTAGATGTTGGCAGATTTGTTTTTTATTATCTTTTCCAGTATCTTCCTGAGTATTGATATTAGGCTGATTGGTCTGTAGTTTCCTGGGTCTGTTTCCCCCCACTTTTTTGAAGATGGGAACCATATCAGCTCTTTTCCAGTCCTCTGGTAGTTCCCCGGTGCTCCAGGATTTTTGAAAGATATGGTGCAGTGGTTCTGAGATGACCTCTGCCAGCTCTTTTAGAACTCTGGGATGGAAAGGGCGGGGCTGATGTCGCAACAAGACGACGGACAATTTGGATGCTCCCAGAGAGCTGTCGAGATCCCCACACCTGGATGGTCAGTTTGGACCCAAACCACTGCAAAGGGACGGTGGGACAAAAGAAGGCATCCTGCTGATCCCAGGGACATCCCAAAATCCCTGGTTGATCCAGGAAAAGCTCCCTAATCTGGCTGCGGAGGAAAGTGGCCATCGAAAGCTACTGAAAGGTTGAGACAGCTCCAGTACGGAAGAAGAGGCAGAAATAAAGTGTGTCGGCTTTGGGTGAGGTTTTTTAAAAAAATTCTGGTTAAGAATGAAAGAGCACCCTAAGGGGGAAAAGATTTTAAGAAGATAGAAGACAGAAAAGAAAATAAATGGTGAAATTGAACCTATTTGAAACTGTCAAAACCAATTAAGACTATTTTACTGTACTTTAACAAGGAATTAATTTTTAAACTGGATTGGACTTTATAACAATAATTAAAGGAAGATAATTTTTAACTTTTACTTTAAAGATAGATTTTAGACTATTTTTCCCTTTTTATTTTCTCTCTTAAAAAGGAATCTTTGCTGGAAACTTTTTGGCTACAATATAACAAGGTAATGAAAGTAAAGCAAAGCAAAGCAATACTGCCACCTAGAGGCTACCTAAAAATTTTTTTGAAGGGATTGAAATAATTTGTGAGAAAATTTTCTCAGTCACAGGCTGTTTAAATTTAGAGAAGATAGAGAGTTGAGCACTGAATAACTGTTTAAACAGGTGTTCCTCTTGCAAAACAATTTAAACAGCTGGAGACTGAAGTGAAAAGAGAAAAGACTACTGTGACCTTGAACTATACCTTGTTGATATTCTGATTGTGATGCCTTGGACATTGCAAGGTGGCTGTGATCTGCTTTGTGACTTATTTTTAAATCACAACTGATTTTTTGTGTGTGGCTGGTATCTACTCTGGGCCTTTTTTGCTTTTTCTAAACTATCTTTTTTGCTTTAGCCTTATTGTTGGAATACAATTTTTTTTCTCTTCCTTTTTCTTTTCCCCCTTTAATGCTACTTGTGGATTATCCTTTTTTATATATTATTATTAGTATTGCTTTTTCTTCTTTTTCTTGCATCATTCCTATGAGGATTTTATATTTTTAAACATTTTGCTTTTACATTTTATAAATATATTTTTTTCTTTCTATTTTGACTTTTATTTTTCCTTGCTCCTTGGGATGAAGAACTTGGCTTTTTCTTTTCCTTGTTTTTTCTTTTTCTTTTTTCTTCCTTTATAATTGGATTAATAATAATACTTTATTTGTGGTCACAGACCAAAACACAAGTACAACAAAAGAAGAACATGGGAAAATTAATCATGAACAATTGGTCACCAAAAACTTGACT